ATGTCTACTCAACACAGGGCACCAACAAAAGACCAAAGCAAAGAGTCTGAGGCCAGCTGGGGCAACAGGGAGGCCCTGTCAAGGGGGCGGGGGCAGGGGGCAGGGGAGGAGAAACAGAGCTGCTCCTTGGGAATTTTCACTAGCACGGTTCAGAAAGAAATCCCCAAGGGCTAGGTGCAGAATGCTGTAACCTGACACCAAAGGGCTGCAGCTAGGTGCCCTGTATCTGGAGCCTGCAACCAGGACCAAGCTTTGATCAACCAGGACTGCCCTCCTTTGCATGGTCCTAATAGCAGAACAGGTTGCACAACTGGAAATCACCAGCACAGCAGAGCTCAAGCTACCCTCCCAGAATTGCAGACCAGCCAAACTGGTGCGATTTACATGTCAGAAAACTGCACCCCCAAGAAACTCATCATAACCCTAAAAGCAATTCTTCCAAATGGAGACCCCTGAAGTTGGCAATCCTCTACCATAGGCAGTGCTCTGGCTACTACCTAGCCAGGTACCCTTTTTATGGTGTGCTCAGTTTTTGTGGCTTTTTTTGGTGTGTCACGGGGTGCTTTTGTTTTTTTAAGAGAGGCTCTCCCTGTAACCCCAGCTGGCCTGAAACTCACTATATAGACTAGGCCTGCCAATGGCTCCTGAGTGCTGGAGCCAAAGGTGTGCACCATCATGCCTGACTCAGTAAACTGTTCTAACCCTGGTCTGAGCAGTGACTGCCTGCAATTTCTTCCTTACTCTCTTAGTGACAAGGCACTCAATCACTCAATCCACTATAGTGAACTAGTGAATATACTGGAATTACTTACAGAGGTGTGAGTGGCTCCATAACAGCTCCATTACTGAAAAGATTCACCCCATTCTGGGTATCTCCTAAAAGCTAATCATGCAGTCTCCTTTCCAGTCAACCTTCCACTTCCTGTGTACTCTAGCATCTCCAGAGATCAAGTGCAGTTGAGGGGCACTGAAGGGAATGGGGGGGGGTGAGTAATTGGAGGGAATGGGAGGGCCCTAGAAGGGATAGGGAGGTCTCATCCCAGTGATTTCTGCTTCACAACCCAGATCTGTTACTAGAATTCTTAGGTTCAGAGCCTGGGCCCTGGCAGTACTAATAAACCAGGCTTGGAAACCTGGCCAATTAAGACAATGGTGAGGGGGCTGGAGAGATAGCTCAGGGATGAAGAGAACTGGCTGTCTGCTCTTGCAGAGGACCCAGATTCAATTTCTAGCACCCACACCCTCTTCTGCCCTCCATCAGCAGCAGGCATGCACATGGTGTGTATATATATATGCAAACACTCATATACATAAAATTAAAATATATATAAAATTTAAAACTACAAATAAACAATGATGAAAAGCATAAAAAGATTTATTCAAGGGGCTGGAAAGATGGCTCAGTGATTAAGACCAATGGCTGCTCTTCCAGAGGACACAGTTTGATTTCCAGCACCCACATGGCAACTAACAACCATCAGTGACTCCAGTTCCAGGGGATCTGATCCCTCTCTGGCCTCCATGGGCTTTAAACTTTTAAATTTGTATTTATTTTTATGTGTATGAGCATTTTGCTTGCATGTATGTAAGCATACCACATAGCTAAGCAGGCCTGGTCAGGTCCCTATCCCTGAATAGGACAGTTATTTCAAACCTATGCCTCCCAAGGCTCAGGATTACTGGGGAAAAAAGGAGGCAGAAAGATTGTAATAGCCAGAGGGGGTAGATGACTACAAGGAACAGTCTTCCAGACAGCTGGTCATTTACTCATATAAATTCAAAGCAATGGTGACAGCATGCACAAGTCCTGTGAAAGCTCAAATCAGACAAAATCCCAGCACAGATATAGGGAAGTGGGTAAGAAATCCCAACTCAACCTACAGAACTTTAAGCAACTGATGCTGCTGGGAAGAGAAAGACAGTGTCTTGAAGGGCTGGGACTCTTGGTGGGATCAGTGGATGGACCCACACTGAAGAACATTTGGGGACACAAATCAGACTCTAAAGGCTGTAATATATATTAATCTTTACATATATATATATGTATAGATATATAATTGAGTGGGGAGTAGTGGGGTGAGGTGTGGAGAGGGAAGGGGATCCAAGTACCATCAAACTATACTGCATGAAAATTGCAAAACTTCAGTAAGAAAAAAATTTATGTATTTCTTTTGCCTGCATGCATGTTAGTGCACCACATGAATACAATGTCCAAAGAGGCCAGAAGAGGACCATGAGATCCCCTAGAACTGGAGTTACAGATAGTTGTTAGTTGCCATGTGAGTGCTGGGAACCAGACCCAGGTCCTCTGCAAGAGCAGCCAGTGCTCCTAACTGCTGAGCCATCTCCAGCTCCAATAAAAATAAATCTTAAAAAAAAAGAATTTCTTCATTCCTGCCCAGGTTTAAGTATGATACAATATAAATCTGAAAAAGCCAGGCATGGTGGCACATGTCTTTAATTCCAGCACTCAAGAGGCAG